GATGTAAATATAATAGAAATGAGGGATATAGATAAAATAATGTGAATACAAAGAAAATACATATAAAATACTATTTGTTTTATTAATAAAGACTTGGCACACTAATTGTTTGTAATATAAATTTTTATTGTTGAATTATAGTCATATAATGCTTGAATAATCATCAAAGGAATTATTATCGTATTATTCTTCTTCTAGCAAAACGCCTTTCAATTGCTTATGTAAGTGATATTGAAAGAGAAAATTGACTTCTCACTTTATTTTCAATAAAAATTGTTCTCTATTCTTCAAACTTATCTAATATCTTTCCAATCTCAATTTCTTTCAATACCTGGCCAGTGAAATCGCCCGATTTAAATATTATCGGATTATTGCGAGCAGTTTTGAAGAGTAGAATGAGAAACAGATTTTCTCCTGCAATATCTCTGTAATTGTAAGATATTCTGTTAGAAGAATAATACAATAATTGCACTATTTAATCCTAGAATATTCACTTGGTGTTTTATATCGTAGCGGCGAGAAAATGTAAATTATAAAATATTACTTATGAATATCATTTAATACATTTTCTTCCTTTTTTAAATAACTATTCTTTACAAATCCTCAAATCTGGAATTTCATCGAAAATTCCTTAACAAAAAATGTTACATTAATTAAATATTTATTTTTTAAAAATACTGTTACAATAAGCTACTTAAAGTATTTATTTCGTTTAATATTTATTTGCTTTCTCTTATATTTTTCATAGAAAATTGTGATTAAATACATAACCATAATCTTTTCAAATATCAATAAATCGAAAAACAATAATATACAATATTAATTGTTGTTAATAATAATGATTTGTATTGGGGTGTAAAAACATCTCAAGTCATCGTTTATGTAAAAAAAAAAATCATAGAACTCCACTCTCGCTGAGCTTGATTGGATTAATGAGACAAGTAATATATTTCCCAAATGTTTACATTATTTTATTCTCTAAATTTATTGGAATGAAATACCACTTCAAAAGAATTAAAATTAACTGCCACTACAAAATAAAAGTGAAAAATTTGCACTCTTGAATAGGAGTAGCAGAATTTTTGGAGTGCAGAGATTCACAAAAAAGGAGTGAGATTTCTTTCCTTTAGAATGAATGAATCTCACTTAAAAAAAAAAACAGTGAAAATCTGCCACTCTTATTCAAAAGTCTTATTTAAATTTTTTCCTCTTTTTCAATAGTGTATTTTAATTCTTCTGGAGTAATATTTCACTCCAAGAAATATATATTTAAATAGTATCCATCTCCTGTATTTATTTAATTTCGTTAATGCATAATTTGTGTTCGCAAGTCACGACGGAACTGTACGTACTTAAAAAAAAAAAAAAAGATCAGAAAACAAATGTGGGGTGGACACAAAATGTTTTGAAAACCAAATGCTTGCCTACGCGAGCGCGAGCACAATGCAGTAGATGCATAAGAATGGAGGCTCGGAGTTTTGCTTGAATAACGATAAACATCGCGTCGCAAACAAAAATAGAGCACGGAAAGCCTACCCCGCTTTGTGTATCGTCGTCTATTTTTAGATAGCCGCCGCACGGAAGCTATTAAAATAAATAAGCCGTTCCTTCGGAACTTTCCCTTATAATATTCGACGAATCTTGTTTTTCCTACACCCGGTATTGGTAGTCCGCGATAAAATGTAAAATGCAATGTGTAACGCCGCGCTGCTTATACGTCCGGAATATGTTGAAACGCGTTGAGCATTTGTACGCGAGAGAAATACATAAACGCATAAACGGGATCTCAAAACACGACGAAAGCCGTGTAGTTGTTCGTTCCCTACATATTATGCGGATTTTCAAAAAGCAATTTGCCCCACCAGAAGCTTAATTATCTCGTCTATTTTCGATTTAAGCAGCGTAAACGCGGCGATATGATTTCGCAGAGAAATAACGTCGCGTTTTTTATGATTCAAAAAGCGCAACTCGAAGCCGGTTTCGTAATTTCGTAATTAGCAACCATACAGCCGCCGAGAATAATCGGACTACGCTTTGATTAATAAAAAGCTTTTTACGAAAAAAAGCCAGAGTTAAGGTAGAATTTAATAAACTCGTTGAAATTCGTGTGTGTCATCATCAAAGGAAATAACTCCCGCGCTAATTAGGGGTACGAAAAAAAAGGGAGGGGAGAAAAAGCGAAAATCATTTAAGCAATATGACGAGTCAGAGTTCAAGATAAAAGTGATATCTCACGAGCTATCTACAGCGGGGTCAAATGTGCCTCCATCAAAGTAATTGAGGGTTAACAGAATTGATTTCAGACGAAATGATACTGGAGGCGGTACGTAAGTATTAATAGAGGTTGTGCGCGAATCGAAACGCTCTTCGGAAGTCTTTAATAATCGTTCCCCGTTTAAACGATTAAAAGTCGTTTGCAGTTTAATTAATTATATATTATTTGTTATGTGTGATTGAATGCAATTAATAATAAATGTACACGCATCGTGACGTTGCGGTAAAAATATACAAGCGTTATTCCTCGTAAATTATAATAACTCGAGTCCTACATTGTAACTATTACGCGTAACTTTTATCGTCAGCAACTGAGAGAGAAAAGTTCATTTTTTTGCCTAGATTATTCTCTTTCTGTCTCTCTCTCTCTCTCTCTCTCTCTCTCTCTCACTTGTTTCTTTTATCTCTATCATAAACAAAAATGTAGAAATGCAAAATGTTTGAAAAAATTATATTGCACTTTCGAAAAGTAGCACAAATAAAAAGTATAAAATTATTCTTGGGAGAGGAAAGAAAAAATTTGTGTAATTAATTATTTACAGCATAAGTTAACTACAGCTAATTACAAATTACTTGTTTCAAGTTTTAAAAGATTCTAAAGTCGCCTGTTTTTTTACTCATTATTTTTCGAATAAGTATTTTTCTAACTGCCTTTTATATACAAATTTGAAAATCCTTTTTTACATTCCACAATCATAAACGTAATGTAATCCAAATAGGGGATTTTATTTAAAAAAGTTGGAAAATTACAATTCTGTAATCAACTTGTAACAAAATTTGTTTTATATTCAAGTTTACTTCGTTCGTATAAAACAATGTTGATTTGGACTAGAAATTATATGTGTGCAAACAATATTTTTAGAATTAAGTTTAGATAATTAATATGAAAGATTAGTTAATTATAAAATTTGTACTTATATATTGTACGTGCGATTGATGTAGTTTATAGAGATGTGTCAATGACGTAAATTATATGTGTATAGATCCTAAATGGAAACAGACGATTTTAGGATCCTCTCAAGTTTAAAAGTAATGTAATAAATATTAATTTCATTATGATATTATATTAACTTCTAAAAATTATCTCTATTCTGAATTTCGATATTGTTCCCGGTTTCAATTCATTTCTATTTTCTATTTGAATTCAACTTGTATAACTTTTCCTGATTGAAGACCGATGTATTTTTTTTAGAACACAATCCGCACCCATAATACGAAAATAAAAATAATTCGAAAAGTGTTGACTTCTGTCACTTTTCAAGCGATATGTTTATTGCAACCGAGACGTAAATTACTATCCCCCAATCGTACTTCCTGCTTATAATGCTACACGAATCTTATCTCCCCTGTTTTATCTAAAACGCAAATGTTTGACTATACACGTATGAGTTAATCTACCATTCTAAATAAATACTCTATAATCGAGAGAGAGAGAGAGAGAGAGAGAGAGAGAGAGAGAGAGAGAGAGAGAGAGAGATATCGACGCATTTTTCGAGGGAATTTCGAGTTGCGTCGCATCGATTCCCTCGAATTTTCAAGTACAACTTGACCTGACCTGGTAATAGGGAACTACGGGAATCGTCCGGGCCCATTTTCTCTCGACTTTAATCGTAATACTTGAACGCGTAGTGCGTTCTCGTTACGCGCGAACTCGATTATGTGCGGATTCAGTGAAACGCGATCGACGAAACAACGGGAGGGAGGGTGCGTAAATCAATTTATGCGAATAGGATTCGCCGCCACCGTCGCGGAGAGCGCGACGCTGATCGAATCGCTCGACGTTTTCGGGAGAGCCCGTCCTCGCAATCCTCGCATCTGTTATAAACGCGATTGAGGGTGAGAGAAAGAGAGAAGAGGAGAGAAACGGAATCCGTGGGAAAATCGTGGGATTTCATTGAAACGGCGGAACGTCCCGTCGCGTCGCGTCGCCGAATCGGCGTGCAACGAGGACACCCTGTATGTACAATATTATTTACGTATGGACGCGAAAGGGCGGGGGGAGGGGGGGGGAGAGGGAAGGGGCACGATGGACCGTAACAACACTAAGGCTGCAGCCCACGCTCCAACGCTCTCGGAATCATTTCACTCTTGTTACCCATACACAATAGGGAAGCTTGCAGTTGCAATGTTAGTGCGATACTGCTATAATGTTAAAATGTTGCTGCAACATTTTCAGTGTTACTTCAATGGGTGCTTTCCACTTGATGACACAAGTCGTTCTTATCTTTCTTGACATTTAGAGAGATGATAAAGATAGAACGGCACTTGTGTCGACTTGTGTCATCAAATAGTAAGCACCCACTGAAGTAACATTGGAAATGTTGCTGCTACATTTTAACATATTATCAGAATGTTGCTAAGAATATTTCCAATATTACTGCAATACATATTGCTGGAACGTAAAAATATTGTTCCAACATTTCCAACGTTACTTTAATATTGTCAGAACGTTCGAATGTTGCTGCAACATTTCCAATGTTATTCGAATACTGCTCTAACATTAAAATATTGTTACATTTCTAATGTTACTTGAATATTGCTGGAACGTTGCAATGTTACAGCAATATTGCCGGAGGGATCTGTGCTGCATGGATTGTTTATCAAGGACAGACATGCGTTGTGAATCGAAACCTAGGGGGAACCCAACCAGGGGGAGGCAAGGGTAGAAAAGGGATACACATGCCCGAGGGGGAGTTGAAAGAGAAAAGAGAAATCATGGCACGTACCTTGGACTGTGATGCCGAACGCCGCTAGCAAGAGCAACCGATCGATCAATCCGCGGCACATCTTCATTAATATATCCGAGGGCTGCCCCCGTCGTGCGTCGTACCCTTTTTCTTCTCCGTCGTGCTGTCCGAGAGATTGCACGCAATCGCACGTTGAAACGCACACACAACCGAACTGAAGATGGGGAGGGAACTGGGAAGGTTGAAGGATCAAGGCACCCAGATCAACACTCTCAGGACGCCGATCAACACTCGCGCGTCATCGGGCCCGTCACGACGCCGTAACCGACGACGATCTCGTTAACGACGGTTCATCTCTTTTTTTTCTTCGACGCCACGCAGGCCACGCTGACGGACGGACGGGCAGACAGACGTACGTTTCTTTTCCTTTTCTTTTATCTCGTCGCACCACACACTCCGCGAATATACTTTGGCGCCGCGTTCACGCGCGGCCGCGCGCGCACACGCACACACGACTGACGGCTGACGGCTGACGATATACGTGCCCGTTGCTTCCGAGAGAGAGAGAGAGAGAGATTCCGTCGTCGCTTACAGCTTACTTCAACCGGCTCGCCCGTCGCGGCCGGTCCGCGGCCGCGTCTGCCATTTCACGGGGACGAGAGCGGCGGCGAATATCCATACCTCCTCTTTTTTCCTCGATAGTTATGTCGTATATCCGTTATCGATAACGCGGAAACGGAGACTCGAGTACTCGACGATAACCGGTGGGAGTGAAAGCGACAATTCTTTCGGCCGCGAGCTCGCTGAACTCGTGTCTCGTGAGTCTCGTCTCCGGCGCGTCCGCGCTTCGGTTACAGCGAGGGTCGTACTCGCTCCCTCACAGGTTGATCGATGCGCCCACCGCGCCGCTGACAACGCCGTCGTTACGACGGCGAGTGTCCGTCCATTCTACGGGAGCGACGAACGCCGAACGCACGCCGAAGGGGGAGAATATAATCCGACTATTCCGACTCCGAGTCGCGTCGCGTCGCGTCGCGTCGCGCGGTCGACCGGCGCGGCCGGCGGCGTCACAGACTCAACAGTCGCGCGCGCGCCGCTGCTCCGCTTGATGATCCATCTCGTGCGAGGGAGAGCCGAGAGCGCGCGATCTACGATCGAAGTGTGGTAGTGATGATGGTGGGGAGCAGAACGACGAGGGAGGGCGAGCGATCGATGTTTATCGTTGCGAATGTCACTCGAAACGAGCCGGGGGAACGACCGTTACTCTCTGGTTTACTCTCCTCTCTCGCGAACGCGCGTTGAATCCCGCGGGACATCAATCCGGACGGCCGCGGATGCTCATTGCTCGTCAAGAGTGTCACTCCGTTTTTTAGATAGCGGTGTACCGCGTCCACTGACGTTGTTCCCTCGGCCACCCGCCGGACCAATTGCCGGTCGCTCTCGCGAACGAAAACAGAGAGACGTGACGTTCCGCCGACGGCGGGGAATACGAACGAACGAACGATACCACTGACGCGAAAGCCGATCCGCGACTGACCGCCGGGGTACGCAAGCGCCCGCATATTTAGCGCGCCGTTCAGCGCCACCTGCGCGACTGAGGAGAACTAAACCCATGCCACGTACAGGGTGACCCATGTATAAAATTTTACGAGCCTTCTTTCCTCTGGGAAAACTCCCAAAAACAGCGGTCACGATAATGTCGAAGTGACGTTAAAATAAATCATGACTGATCCAATGACTTTTAATGGGTGCGAGTATATTTTTTTAATTTTATAGCTTTTCCTTGAGTAAGATTTGTTATAATTTATTATTTTTTATTAGACTTCTTGGTACAAGATGTGACACTGTTTGAACGCCATTATAACTTTCTTATATTGTAAAGGTTAATAATAATAATAATTTTGATGTCATTTTGATCAGAGCTGGGGATATGTACTTTAAATATTTTTATTTTAAAAATAATATTTGCCAGATAATTGTATTTTATATTTTGTATTTCAGCGGAGCATATGCAAATTTATTGTTTCATGGGAGCATATAAAAGAATTTTATATTTTATATTTCAGTATTAATAGCGAAAGATATTGAAAGTATTGTATTTTATATTTTTAGTACTAATGACAATCAATCTTAATACTTGAATTACAAAATACAAAAAACTTTAAATTTTTTAATTTTAAATATAAATTACGTAATATTTTTATGTTCTCTGTTGAAATATAAAATATAAAATACACTTGTATTGCAAAAACTGTTTAAAGTAAAAGTGTTTCAAATACGTTCAAATTTTAACGTCATTCAGATTTCAAACTTTTTATTTTGCTTGGGCTTTTACAGATAGCGATAGAATTTTTTTGATCATGTAATTGTTTAAAGTTCGACTTTTTTTTAAAAATGGGACATATATTGTAATTTATTTAGTTATTTTTAAAGATTTGGAGATTCGAATATAAAAAAGTGGTCATAATAATTGGTGGATTGGTGGATTAAAATATCGGATAGAATATGATGGATCTACGAAATAAAATATTATTAAAAAATTGTAATAAAATTGTTTATTATGTAGTTTTGAAAAGAAAAGTATTTAAAAACAAGTATGTATTTGATATGACATGCTATGTAAAAATAAAAAATTGTAATAATTTTACAATACAATATCTACTAAATAATATTATAATTAATATTTTATCAATAAAATTAAATTATTAACAACAAACATATACCTACTAATAAAAGTTATTAGAAAAAATGCAATATTTTCTTGATTATGAATATCATTCAATACATTTCTTTATCAATAATCAGATATTTTTCTTATCATTGAAAGATTTGAAAATTATTTTCAACAATAACGTGTAATAGATAATTTTCTTCAAAACAAATTCTAGTTGAATTGAATAGCTTAATATTTATTAAAAATACAATTGTTTTAAAGACAGTACACACGCATACGCGCACAGACACACACACACACACACACACACACACAATATATGTAGATATACACATCACTAGACTTTAAAGAGTAAAATTCGTCGACTATCTCGGAATGAATGGAGCTCTGCCGTTGAACCCCAGAAAATAAAAAGTAAACTCCCTTATTCTTTTAAGTTAAAGTATCTTTTTCGAAGGTAAATCGAGTTTTTTCTGTATGTAATGTCTGCATATAAATTATTAGGCGCAGATAGTCGGGGAAAGAAGATATTTTATGAGATTTTTATATTTTATTTCAACACTTTCGAACAAAGAAATATAAAATGTCTTGTGAAAAAATATTCTCTCCGATTCTTCAGTACTTACTTAAACATAGACTGATGAAACAAATCGATTTCTGTCGTTTCTGGTCACATTTCGAAAATAGCTCTGGCAATTAAATAAGAATCCGCGATAATACAGGATGTCAGACTTCATGTATTCAGTCTATGGAGAAGAAATAGCATGAGATTTTATTCAGTCACGATAATCAAAATATTTCTTCGATATTCTTAGATGCTAGAATTCCCAAGAAAACATCTCATTTAATGTTATTACTTAATCTATTATTAAGAAGATAAAGCTCTACATGAAACTTTATTGACATTTCGCTCCCTCCATTTGATGAAAATTTCAATGATGGCGCTAAGAAGTAAGCGCAGAGATAAACGTGTTCCACGAATTGAGATTAGAAGGGAAAAGGAAGTTAGATTCGAGTTCGCAAATAAATCACTGTTTGTGTGTATGTGTGTGTGTGTGTGTGTGTGTGTGTGTGTGTGTGTATGTGTGTGTGCGATAATCGTCAGACTTATTATCGAGACGATAAGTTGAATGACGGATTTACCTCACACCGACAATCACGATACGCGTTCGTGTGTGCATCCCAACGACGACACCATATCTACGAGATTGGGAGGCATAGTTCGAGAATTCGATTCCGCTGCTGTCTTCTCCACTCGAGACACCCTGGATCCGCCGCGAACAGATTTCCCTGTTTCCTCTTCGGCGCCGCGCTCGGCCATCTTCGGTTTCGCTCCCCTGTGATCGCGGCGACTCTTCGATGAGAACAGGACTCAGGATCGTGCTTAGGCACGCGCGAATCCCTGCCGAACGGATATGATCCATACAGGCTTAAGCCCGTGTCACCCTGGAGATTGAGGAGTATAAATTGAAGAATAGAATTCAGCCAATTTGAACGAAATGGATTAAGATTAAGATCATCTGATTGGTTGAACTTCTAATCTTTGATTCGCAATCCTCAATCTCTAATGCGTAGTGTGACATGGACTTTAGGTATAAATATATATTAAATATATCATATATGTTATGAATATTTATAATATACATAATATATTTAATATATAATATTTATAAGATTTATATTTAATATACGTTTTATTTGTACGGTTAATTTTAAATTTCTCTTTTTGATGTCAACAGTTCATTCCAGACATGCTAGAAAAGAATTATATTATATCAATTTGGTAAAATGAAATTGTCGCAGGAAACAGTATCATGTTTATTTTCAAAGAAGAAAATCCAGCATTTCCAATATTTTTTAATCTTTATTCAACATTATTATAATGTAGTATAACATTATATTGTAATAAAAGTCTGTAGGAGTAGATCTCGCTTCTAGCAAGTAGTTTAATTAGTTTCCCTAATCGGATATTCTCGCGGGAACTATCCAATTTCGTCAATGGATTGGTCGCTCGTGATCGGAATACGACAACGATTTGAATTCAGGATTTAAAAATATTAGAATAGACACGATAGAAATCAAAATAAAGATGATCATTGAATGAAATTACTGTTATTTAAACGTTTACGTTGACTTAATTAAATTTCGGACAGTTGGCAGATCACAAGATACTTTTAATCCCGCACACATCGTGGAACCTACCATTATTGTGCTTCTGATATCAGGTATCAGTAAACATCAAACACATTACGTAAATTATCGAAATTCAAGCGCGTTGATGCTACAATTGTTTTTCGAACTTTCATTGCAAAGCTCATTCCACAATTGTGTAAGCGTAGATATAAATAGCAATTAGAAACAGTTGTAGTTGTAAGAATTGATCTATTATAGCCAAATAAGAGGATAATATTCGACTGTGATTGATTTTACGAGGATGATAAAACAATATGAAATAATCGTCGAATGGAGCAAAGAATCATGCATTTCTTAGAGAAATCTTATATTTATGATCTGCTTTTTTTTACTGAACTTTCGCACCAGTTCATCTTTCTTTTCCTTCTTTCTTTCTGAAGAAAAAAGGAAGAAAGATGAATTGATGCAAAAGTTCAACCAAAAAGAACAGGCTTTATATTACACTAACGAATGATAATTGCGTCTGCATTTGTGCGTTTGCGTCTTTTGACTCGTCATGCTGGCTAACAATTCCTTTCTAATTGGTCAAGAGATTCAAACGCAGATGTCACAGACATAATTTCCAATCGCTAGTGTGATACGGGCATTACGTTTCACAGGTGGAGTATAGCAGAATTATCTGATTCCGTTGCAATTATGCTGTTCCGCGTCGGAATCTCCTGATCTCGCGATGGTCTCTTATTTATTAGGTGTTGGAATTAATTCGTAGCGTTTTTAATGAAAGAATGTTATTTATTTCACATGAGCATTAAAAAATACATTAATGAAAGTACTTCCCATCACTTGTAAAACGCTACGAATTAATTCCAACACCTAATAGCATGAGCACACAATAGACAAAATGTTTATGAAAAACAATTAAGGCTCCTGTTCACCATTGCTATCTTAGATTGTGACGTCAGAGAAAAAAAACATAGAATAAAAATTTTTGCAAATTATATTTAAATAGAAGTATTTTTCACTAAAACAATATTTGCAATCGAGATAATATAAACTTATAAGTTATAAAGCATACTAAAAAGCTATCTTTTTGTTTTCAGAAGAAATTAAATTATGTTTATTTTTAATTTTATATATTATTAATTCGATAGTGTGAACTTATCATTTTTAATTATACATCATTCATTTCCAGATATATGAGTCATTTATTAATTAATAAAAGACAAACAAAAACCCCGATAGATAAATTGTGAGAACATTACATATAATGGGATCATGAACTGATGACAATTTTGCAATAATTGCACTTTGCAATAATAAGAAGATTTGCTATAACTCAATAGTTTTGTCAAAATAAAATTTCTAAATAATATTTGTCTAAAATTGAATAAATTTAATTTAAGGTATCAATACTTTTTAATTCATTTGTAAAAGCAAATCAGGACATGTTATTTTTAAATGCTCAAATGAATATTTCCGATCGAATTATATATGTATCCTAAAAGCCGTTTGACTTTAAATTTTTTAATTTAACGATGCTAAATGTATAATACTTTATGTTGCAATATTTCTACGTTACATTTTAAGAATAACTGCATTTTTATATTTCTAAACTACAGCTAAAATATTTTCTCAATTATTGGACAATTTCTTTCCAAATTTAATTTGATAAATATGCCTAAAATGATCGCCATTCCTTATTGTTTTACCAAAATATTATGTCGAAATTAACTGTGCAAACAGTTATTAATACATGTTTTAAAAAAGATTAGAGTTCTTGCATCTATTTTTGTATAATAT